CCCCAAAACCCCAAAACCCCAAAACCCCTGAATTCCAAATTTAATTATAATTCATGAAATTAAGTCTTGAACTAATTAAAATAATTAAGTAGATCATCTCGGATTAGTATTTCTATCTGCTATTTCATCAAAAGTATCATTGAACAATTTCTCTTGAGTATTTAAATAGTCATATGTGGGATTCCTTTTCATATAATATGGCTAATGAAGACTATATGGATTAACACCCCAAGGAGGATAGTAAGGTACTGGCCCCGGTGCTCCAGGTAAAGTTCCTGTATACATTGATAAATTATGGATTCCTGCTAGGTATGGATTTACTCCTGTTCCTAGATATGGAGAATAAGCTCCTAAAGGTGAGCCTAAGGCTCCTAATGCTCCTACTGCCCCAATAGGTCCTAAGCCGCCTAAAGCCCCATAACCGGCATATGGACTCAGTACTCCATTTGTGGCAGCTGAAGTAGCTGCTAATTTATTTTACATTAAAAATTCTCTTTATTCCTGTAGATTTTTCAAACTGGTCATCTAGTTATTCATTTACATCTATTTGTATTTATCCTTATAGTGGTCTCTCCAGTTTTGTTTTTCTTCTTCATTTCTCATTCTATCAATGTCACTTTACATTTGTCTATTTTCTGATGCAATAAGAGCAGTATTCTTAGCTCTAAAATCTGCAATCTAATAATTTAGATGATCTACTCCACTCTTCAGCTGATTCATTGGATCGAAGTCATTTCCGTTGAATTTCTGAGCGGCTTTCTCATTCTTCAGCTAAATTACCTCTTTCTTCATTTTCTTTAATTTTTTGTCTAACTTTGAATTATAAATAAATGTAAAGTTAATTGCATACATTGTGAAGACCTTGATTTTTATCAAGAATTTTCTTCATTTATTTCACATTGTTAAAACTCTGAAACTGTAATCCTCAATAAATATTATCTTAAAAAATTACCATTTTCTACTGTTCAACTATAGTATCGAGGTCATCTTGTTGATGATAAGCTCAAAAATCAATAGCTTTTTGACTCTTCATTAAATCCTTAACAGAATGTGATCTTGGATAATTTGTCATCATACTTTGTGCTTGATCATATCTTCTATTGTGAGAAGGGCTCTAAAATTATTAGGAAGTTCAAATTGATAATTAAAACTTACAATAGGGGGAAGTACAAAATTATCACTCATTAATCTGATTATAATTATAAAAATAGAATTTTAAATTAACTTAAAATGTTTTGCTTTTGCAAGTGCAAATTCGGATGTCTTACCGTTACTATAGGATTTATTTCTATATTTACGATTGTAAAATTAATCTTTATCCATATAATCCTATAGATGACGAGTGCCATTTTTGTTGCAATGGCGTTAAAGCTACTACCTGATAATGAAGTATGGTCTATATGGGGATAAAATGGTTCACTGATCTAATAATATCAACTCTACATTATGCTTGCTTGTGCTGGTCTAGCTCTATTTACTGGGATTCAAGGAGCTATTATGTCAAGAATGTATTTCGCATAATGTGTTTGCATTTTTGCTGTCTTATCACTGGGTGTGGGTTTATTATTTTGTGCTGTCGGTGCCTACTTTTTTGGAATGTATTGTAAGTTCCTTTACTGCATTAAATTTTATCAACTTTAGTTGCTACTAGCACTTTGTTAGACACATTCTGTGCTGGTAAAGCATCATCTGTATAAACAGTCAGAGATTACTAAGTACTAACTTTGGATTATTACATGCTTGCAAATCTTTATGTGACTAATTATATGTGCTCAAGTGTTTGCCCATGTATATCATACAGTCAACTTGATCCAAAGAAATGGGGAAATAATGCAGCTGCACTAAAGAATAATTATGTCTATACTGGAACTTACACTAGTTTTTATAACTGCTTGCTTGATTTGCAGACTAAAGAGCTAGTTCAAGAGATACCTTCTGATACTTTACAATACATAATTGATAAAGAGAGCGAAAATAGTTGTGGGGGAGTATGTGAAGAACTTCCAATGTTTTATTTCTTTAAACCCATTACAGATGGCCAACCTCCTAATTCCTGCAAGGAGTATGTTTTAAAAGATCTCTAAATTGCTTACTTGCTATATGGATCGGTTTTCTTATTTGGAGGTATCTTACTTATGATAGGATTTAATGTGTAATATGGAATGTGGGGAAGGAATTTGCAGAAGAAAATGGAAAAAACGAAAGGCGATAAAAGTAGCTCAAATAAGTATGATACGGAAAATGATAAAGCTATTAGAAGATGGAAATGAATAAATTTGCTTTTGTATATTTTTATTATAAAAATTGATTATCTATAATAAGGTTATGGGGTTTTGGGGTTTTGGGG